GGCTCCTCTGCCGAGCGACTGGCGCCGGGCGACCGAGGACGCGCCGTGGCGCAGGGCTCCTGGGGGATGTCGCGGGGCCGGCGCTGCGCCAGGAGGAGCTCGAGCCGAGGCACCCGCAGTGCTTCCACGCTGCGTGGAGCCATCCAGACGCGAGGGTGGGTGCCCCCTCCCCCGCGGGCACCGGGCTCTTGGCAGACGCGACGTGCCCTGTTTGATGAATGAGCCTTCCCGGTTGGGACGCCTGGCACGCCCTGTCCGTTGCCGGCCTCGGACGCGGAGACGCCCTGGCTCTTCCCAAGCCCGGGCGCGCGGAGCAGGTCCTGCGGTGCCCGCTTCGTCGCTCCCCCCCGGAGGTACCTGATTGCTCCTCTGATCCTACTTTCCTCTTTGCAGCCGGCTCTGACTCCTGCCGCGCTTAGCTAGCTGCGTTTTTCCCTTCCTCCCAGGAAGATCAGCCTCCGGCCGGCCCAGATAGGAAAAGGAGGTCTGCGTGAAGACCCAGGTAGTTCTAGCACAGGTAAGATGCCTTCCGGTCGGGGAGGAAAGAGGTGCCCTTTAATTTGCTGCTGAGGCCAGGCCTGGACTGACCATGGTGGGACTATGTTCTGAAGCCTGGGGAGGGTGAAAGGGCTGTTTTAAAAAAAAAAGCCTGGCTGATTTGCCCCCTGCCTGAAATTATGAGTCAGTGAGGAAAAGGTATGACTGGGAGGTGGGTGAGTCGACCAAAAGATAGTGCATCATATTTTATCAGGGCAACTTTCTCTATAGCTACACTTGCCTGTCAACAAATCACTGAGATTAGCCACTATTACCCCCGTTTTACAGATTTTAATTGTAAGCCACCTGGAATCGATGGAATTCCTGCCTATAAATTATATAAATAAATATAAATTTGAGGAACTGAGGTTAAGAAACAGTAAATTATGCAGGTTGGTGATTCCAAGGGTGGGAACTTGGACTCATCTTCAAACTGAGTCTTTAGTGCTGATTTAGATCCTACTGACCCTATTGCATAAGGCTGGGTTGTGCCAACTTATGGACACGATGCCATAGAGTGACAAAAGCCATTCTGAAACAGTGGCTGCCTCTGAGAGAAAATAACTTTTCCCAAGCTGTGCTGATGGGCTTGGCTGAGGAGTAAAGGATCCCAAATCCTGCGGCTCTTGGCTGCAAAGGGTTAAGTGTTGCAGGATTCCAGGCACCAATCGGGGATGCAGGGCTCAGCTAGCTTGGTCTGAGCATCCCCATCCTGAAGCTGGGTTGGAATGGGAGGCTGACGTTCAAGGTGAACTTGCGTGTGCCACCGAGAGCTGATGCCCTGCAAGGCTTAGGTACCAGATACGCAGGGGGCGATGTTGGGAAACCCTTTGGCTGGGCTGTATGATTGTCTGACTTCTCTGGGATATGTCTTAGGCTTACAGCGCCTTGCAGTTTTGGTTCCTGGCACCTCTAGCTAAACCATCTTAGCAGGAAAGGGAAAGACCGGTGAGGCCCCTGTGAGCTGTCATCAGCTGGAGTGAAAAGTACTGCCTAACGGGGATCAGGCAGTTCCGTGCATAACTGTATGGTTTCACTGCTGCAGGCAAATGGCAATGAAAAGAGGGCATCGTCTGAGGCTGGCACAGAGCAGAGAGACCCTTAAGGGTGTGAGCCTTGATTTTTCTTCCTGCTCAGGATGATACCACCAAGAATTTCCACATTGTTTCTAAGGGGCTCAGGGTCTTACTGCAGCTGCTCTGTCAAAAGCCCCATGTTGATGTTGCTGAGATTGGCCACTTCCAGATGTGCCCCCCCCACCTCCATGCTTGGCACAAAGAAGGACATAGAATGGAAACCCCTTAGCCGTGTGAGGGATGAATGGGGTATGCACAAGACTGTCTTTTCATGTTTACATCCATGCACCTCATTATCATATACCCTTGCCCACACCACACCTTCCTCCCTCCCTCCCTCCCTCCCTCCCTCTCTCCACCCTTCTCAGCAAACTGGCTACTGTAGTCTTTTTCATTTCCTGTTCCCCTTGCCTAATCTCGCTCCATTTCCTGGCTTCTGATCGCCCTTCAGACAGGTCTCTTCCTCCTTCTTTCCTGTGATCACAAGTGTTCCTATCCACAGGATGAAGCTTGAGGAGCTGTGACCACGCTGGATGTTGAGTGAACTGCCGTCTCTCGTCAAGGATGGCTGCCGTGGGGTTGTTCCTTGTCTGGAGCGTGCTCTTACCTGCGTTACTCCTGGCTTTGTACCTCCCCACTCCGGAGAACTCTACCTGGCACTTGTCTTTGAATTCTGCCCCAGAGCTTTCTCTGCTGGAAGTTTCCTCCAAAATGTCTCTTCGGAGAGCACTACCAGCCATTCCTCATTCAGATTCTTCTGCCCATGAGTTCTCCAGTGGAGATGGGGAATTGAAGAATGAGAACAGACGAGGTGCCAGTCCAACTGGCCACCCTGGAGCTGCAATATCCATGATGCAGTTTGAGCTTCCTGAAAAGGGGGCACCAGCCAGTTCTTCTGGTGGACTTTTAGCTCCCCACTTGACTGAGGAGAGTCTTGTTCTGCCAACAGAAGGCTTTTCCAGAGTTCAGGGAGAAGTTGAGGATACTGGCAGTATAACTTTGGAACAAAGTCCAGAACAGGGGAAGAAAGAGTTCTCCCTTCCTTCTTCTGGCATGTCAAATATAAACATGTCCACCTTGGTGGTGGCCTCTCTTCCCACTTCACCCAGGTTACAGGCCTCAGAATTACTTGTCTCCCAGGAGGAGATCTTGCCCAGCATCCACCAGGCAGGGTTCAAACATGGCCTCCCAGCAACTACTTTAAGCCCCAGGCCCACAGTGTCCACCATTCCCTTGGCAACATTCCCTGTTACCAGATCCCATGTCAGATGGGAGGCAGCTGAGGGTACCAAACCTAAGGATAATACTTTAAGGGGATGGCCGGGAAACAAAGTGCCAGAGCAGGAGCTGCTGGGCCAGAATCCAACCACAGCAAAATATTTGGCTTCATACAGGAGTAGACAGGTCTACAGTGGCCTCCCAGGCCAGGAGGAGCTCTCTACGTCTCCTCTTAGGCATGTGACTCAGGGAGATACTCAGAATCTCCCTGGGCAAGACAGGGACATACTATCAATGACTTCCACCTCCCAGGAAGGTATAGTTACCCCACTGATTGGGAAGGGGCAGAACTTTGCCCATGCCCCAGCAAGCTCCCATCCACCAATTTCAGATGACCACTTCCCTGTCTCTTTCACCCCTACACTGTCCGAAGAACCCAATCCTCATCTAAGGAGCACCCACTGGAATCTGATCCCTGATACCACCCAGCAGCCAAGACTTTGGGACATGGATGGAATGGGAAAGACCATCTTCCATAGCAGCTCTGCTACCCCAGGTAGGTTTAGGTTTGCCATTGATTTCTGTACTTAAAGGGACCCTCTGCCATTGAAAACTCTCATCCAGTCCCACCCACCTGTCTCCTGCCCTGTGAACAGGAGGAGAATGGGGCAGGAGAGGGCAAGAGGTGGCAGGAACCCCAGGAGAAAAGACACGCCAAACGGTGCGGGGAGCAGGAAGCTGCTCTGATGACAGGAAAGCAAGAAAAGGTTGGGCGTTCAGGAGAAAACCTGGTTGTTGAAGACTGAGGATATGTTCTTGGAGGGCCCACGCTAAAGTAAAGGAGAGAATAATGATAATATAAATGCATCTATCACTTCCAAGAATGGCATTCCAGCAAAAAGATTAGAACAATCAAAGTTGGCAGGGAAAGGATTATCTAACTTAGAAGACGCTGTAGGAAGACGGCCGGATTAGTCTACGGTGGCAAAAAATTGGGAGGAGCCTGGATGCACTTTCTCTGACTAACAAATTGTATTAAAAGGTAGAAACCTTTTAATACAATTCCTTAGTTAATTAAAAAGTAATTAATTAAAATTAGTTTAATTTAATTCATTAACAATTAATAAAATTTGTTTCAGGTGCTATCAGAGCCCTTCTAACTTACAAGATAAATGCCTGTATAAGCATCTTTATTGGATTGCAGAATGCTAGAGATAAGCAGGGTCTGTTATGTTTATAAAATAAACATTCTGGACCTTGTTAGGCCAGAGTACAGAACTCCGTCCACTTCGCTATCCGTTTGAATCCTCCTCCAGTGAGCAGCCCCTTTCTCCTTGCTGGTATCTGGGTGCTTTCTGAAACACAGTCATCCATCTGTACAGCAATCATAAGTGAGAACCTCCAATAGCAACACAGCCAAATGCGGAGCCTGAAAACGAGGAAAATACTAGCCTGATCCCCTCTCCAGGTTTTCCATAAGTAGGACAATTTTTAAAACATAGTGCACCAAGGAACCCCTTCCACAGGCCAAAAAAGGCTGAATAGGTTCAGCAGCAACCACAGATGTGAAATGATCTTTGGAAAAGAAAAGGGAGCTCTGAGAAGTGAGATGGAATATCCTGGAGGAGAGCTCAGCTGATTGGTTAACATCCAAACATGGCACACTTTTTTGTGGTTGAAGATCACACTGATTTCATTCATTGTTACTTGGTTTAATATGAGAAGAAGAAGAGCAACTGATGTGGTGGTTGGGAATATTGCATGTGCCTGGAAGTGAGGGGTATGTAAGTGTAGATGCACTAAATGTGACCCTGGATACAGTATGTGTGCAGCTGGCAGGTTGACACATGATTAAGCGACTTGTTTTATTAGAGTGCCAACGTATTTGCGATGAAAGAAACATGGGATGAGCAGGGGGTTGGGAATAACAGGAAGAGCTGGTAGGAATATTGCAGAATATTTTTTTGTGGACCTGATGATGGATGTAGAGAAAGGGGAGGTGATTTGTAAAGCTGTATAAGATAGTTTAATGGTGATTATTAACCTGATTGTTATATTTATTTTTGCAAAGCAGCTAATTGATCTTGAAAAACCTAAGCAGGATTAGGCCTGGTTAGCATTAGACTGGGGAGTTTAAAAAAACCCAAATCCTGCCTTTGACGCGATGTTTCAGAGGGCTGCTGGGAGAATCCCCTTCATTCTCTTCCTGTGTTCAGAATAACCTTCCTTGAGGACAGAACTTCTGAGAGGAGCTAGGACAGAAGGAGGAGGTCAACGCTGGAGCAGAAGCAGATGGCTAAGGGGCCAGCCTTATCATTAGGAGGAGTGAGGTAGTGGCCCCAAGCCTCGGATTTGAGGCGTAATGAGAAGGCAGCCAACTATTTAATTATTTAAAGTCAGGAATGATGGAAAAGATACCAGTAGGCTTTCCCTATCTTGGGTGTTAAACTAATTTGGATGAGCTTTTTGCACCTTGGCAACTTTTGCTGTTCTGTCGCAGCCAGGACAACACTGTAGGCCAACCTTAGAGACCATCAGTTTTTGGTTCCACTCAAGGTCTTTTCCTTTCTTTCAGGGATTGGAGAAATGCATGACATTGCAGAGCCCCAACGGGTCAGGGGAGCAGTGAACCCCAAAGTCTCTCTCCCATATTTTGGCTCCTCTACCCCTGGGCAGAGCCCCTCAAAAGTGCAGGATGATCCAGGAACCAAGCACTCAGGTGAGTGAGAACACCATGAGGTTTTCAACATGGAGAGAACCTTGCTAGATCAGACCCAAATCTGTCTAGGTCAGCATCCTGTTCCCCACAGTGACAAAATGCATACATGGGTGTAGAGGCAGAATCCACTTGTACACACTCAGTCCCATGGAATTAGAGGTCAGCTGATATACAGTTGCATAGAACTCCCATTGACAATTATATTACATCTTAAGTTGTGGGACTGTCATGATTGAATGCCAGACAGGATTCAATTCTGCATTCAGCCATGACTTTCACTGGGGGTCTTTGTTGGTCACTATTTCTTAACCCAGTTTACCTAAGAAGGCTGTTGGATGAGTTCAAAGAAGACACCTTGGTTATGTTAGCTGACATGAAAACATCTAGAAGAGATAAAAGTAGTAAGAGATGGTCTTAATATTAAGTACAAATTCCAGATTGTTTTTTCTTGGAAGTATAAGAGACAAACCATACCAAACTCTGGATATACTCTCAAATACTTCTTCCTTCTTCTCTCTGCTCTTCAGACATTGCATCTGTGGTCTTCCGACACTCTTAAACTTTGGTTTAGAAACTAAGAGCAATTTCATTGCTTTCAGTGTGCTGAAAGGTGCCATTTATACCGTCAATGCCCTATAAATAATCCATTTTAATAATAGAGTGGGAATGCTATTGAAGGAGTTGAATTGCATTATTGCTGGACCAGAGTTCCAAAGCTGCTGTTAAGCTCGCTGTGGTGGGAAAAAGCTGAATTGGCTGATATGTTGATGTTGACGGTGATGAATGCTGCATGATTTATTCTGCCTCTGCAAAACAGGGGGAGAGGTTATGAGTAAGAGAGATACAGTGTTGTGCATCAGAATGGCTACAGGCCCACAGACGAACGCTTCCATTTCCCTTTGGTGAGATGCTCTGATTTCTGAATGGATGGTTGAATTCATATCCTGCTGCTGATGGAGTTCAGAAGTCCAGCATTTCATTTTCAGGTGCTTCGGTTCAGTGAGCAAAGCATCTTGCATATTGTTCCTGGCAGTGCTTCATTACAGGCAGGGGCAGCAAAGCAACCCCCACTTCTGTGTCATCTCTGCTTGCCCCATAAAGCTAAAACTGGGGAGGAACCAGAGTGGAGTTCACAATTTGTATTAAGTACAACATTTATGCCATAATAAGTTAAATTCATATGATTTTGGTGGTGTATTAAATAAATGTTGGTCCCTGAAAGCAATGAAATTGCTCTTAGTTTCTAAGACTTTTACTCTAAAGGGCTATACCAGGAAAATACTGTTCTAGAGAAGCTAGTACAGATAGTCCTCGACTTACAACCACAATTGGGACCGGAACTTCTGTCACTAAGTGATGTAGTCATTGAGTTGCACCTGATTTTACAACCTTTTTTGCCATAGTCATTAAGCAAATAACACAGTTGTTAAATGAATCCAGCTTCCCCCATTGACTTTGCTTCTCGGAAGCCCCCTGGGAAGGTCACAAATGGCGATCATGTGACCATGGGACACTGCAACCATTGTAAATACATGGTGGTTGCCAAGCGCCCAAATTTTGATCATGCGACTGTGGGGACACTGCAATGGTTGTAAGTGCGAGGACCGGTCATAAATCACTTTTTTCAGCACTGTCGTAACTTTGAACAGTTGTTAAACAAATGGTCATAAGTTGAGGACTGCCTGTATTACATCCACAGCTACAGCTCCTCTCCATAATCCATTGTGTATTTAAACCCTGCCCCCTGGACACTACAAAGCTGATTCAGCAGCTCCTGTGCCATCTCACAAGATACTGTTTACGTGTATTGTCTGGGAGGATCCTTGCAATGGACCAGTTCCTCCATTGCTGATTCAGGTCCGATTATTCACAACTAAGTTGTGAATCCAATTATTCACAACTGAGATGTTATGCAACTGGGAGTATGATTACCATCTTCTTGTTTTTCTTAGCAGGCTTTCATTTTTACTTTTAACAATAATAAAAGATTGAAGGATACCTTCTCTCATTGCTTGAGCTAGAAAAGCCTCAGTACTGAACAGATAAGATAGAAGAACTGTATTTCAAAAGAGGGCAGTAACTATACTGCAAAATTAATAATGAAAGAGGTAACATAGATCTAGAAGAGCCTTTTTTAATATATATTTTTATTTTTCAAAATACAAATCACAACAAAATTGACAAAACACTAAATACACTAAAAAAACCACACATTAAATGAGACTGTATGTAAACTTAATGAAAAAAAAAAGTAAAAATTACAGGAAAGAAAAGAAATTTTAAAAACCCAAACAGGCTAAAGAAAAGAAAAAGAAAAGAAATCTACCTTATATATTCAACATATCAATAGTTACTGGTTTACTCATTACCATACACTATTATAATATAATCAGTAAAAATATTATTGTAAAATATCACAACATCTCTGTGATAGTAATACATGTTGCTTCATCCTTTGATTAGTAGAAAACATTGCCTTTTCTAAAACAGATAAGTCACACATTTCGAAAAACGATTCCTTAACATCTGGAATAATATGACTTTTCCAGTTTCTCAGTGTAATTCTTTTAGCTTCCCCTGCCCCCCCCCCCATGCTTGATACAGTCATAATTCCTGATGAACAGTCAGATTCCAAAGCTTTGGTATGTAATTCAGCATCATATTAACACTTTAAAGATTTCCTCATAAATCTACTTATATACATTAAAACACTATTCCAAAAAGTTGCCACTTGATGATATGGCCATATCATATGGGTCAGTGAACCCTCAATTTTTTTACACCTCCAACAAGATCTAGAACAGTCTAAATCTTTCTAGTGCCTTCCAATTGTGTTTTGGTTTCAGTTGCCAGCCAGCCTGAGAACTGAAGTCAGACATGGCTGGGAGACACAAGCTTGCAAATCTGATCATATAAATGTATGTATTCTGCCTGTATTACACCATGGAACTCAAAAGTGGTCATTCATTCATTCATTCTGGCTTCTGTGTTGCTCAAGCAGCTTACATCTAGCAATACAAAAGATTAAAATAACCACAATATAAAGGTAGACATCCACTAACTGTAATATACAACAATAGTGCCATCATTGTCCCCAAACCCTTTTCTGAGGCTCTGTGTGTTCAAGCACTCTGGAAGCCCCACAGAGAAGGGGTGATCTGGATATCTGGAGGCGATCTATTCCACAGAAGGGAGCTAATTACTGAGAAGGGTTGACATGGGATCCCTGTAGCTAGAATCCTCTTAGTGGAGGAAACCTTAACAAGCCTTCTCTCCTAATTCCTACTGGGTGGGCAGACCCAAACTGGAGAAGATAATCTTGAAGGTATCCTGAGTTATGAATGTGGGATGTCTAAGTACAGTACTCTCCCATTCTAGTACTGACCTGCATAGCTACAGCAAGATGTATCATGTGTCTTTCCATGTTCAAGGAAAAGCCAAGATATTTATTGCCTCCGAATTTAGGGTCAAGGAGGTTGAATAACCCTCCCCCCACCCTCCAAGGTAAGGCATTATTTTTGAGGCTGGTGGGAAACCTAAGGCCCAGAGAAGGTTGGAAGACAAGTACAGATCGCTAGAAGCTGAGGGGATAAGCTGGCTTTGGCATTTGGATTTGAGAAATCCCATGTTCTATAACTGGAATGAGGTTTGCAAAGAAGTTCTTATAAGCTTTATCCCCTTTGGATGTATTTATTTAATGTAGTTCCCCCCCCCCCATTTTAAGGTAAACCTTGAAAGTATATAGACATATAACATAGTTATATAGATAGGGGTGTGTATCTCTATATATCTAAAACAAAACAGAAGCCAAAACAATTAATAGCAGAGTCAACTCAAATAGAGATCAAATTTAAACAGTTAAATTACAGATAGATTATATTTTAGCCTAGTGTGTTGTGTGAATCCATCCTATCTGATTAAACATGGTTCATTGTGTTTTATGAGCTGAGAAAATTGGGCTAATTAACTGAACTGTAGTTTAATTAATGAACTTGGGCAAATGTCTCATATGAACTCAGCCAACATGCCTATCAACCATGACTGCTTAAAAAATTGCCAAAGATAATTCTGCGGGAGTAAGTTCAAAAGGTAAGGGGATGTCAGACCTTTGAGGAAGTCCATACAAGAAGCATCAACCATGAGTACTAACACTTACCTTTACTGTAAGGTTACAGTACAGGTAGTCTTTAGTTAATGACAATGATTGGGACTGGCAATTCCATTGCTAAGTGTCGCGGTCATAAAGCAAGATGTCACATGACCACACTGACTTACGATGGCAGTTCTGGCAGTTCCAGTTGAGGTCCTTAAGCCAATCCCACACAATCATTAAGCATGACGTCACACGACTGCCATTTGCGACTCCTGCCGGCTTCCCCATTGGCTTTGCTTGTCAGAAGCTGGCAGTGAAGGTAACAAATGGCAATCCCATGACTATGGGATGCTGTGACTATCATAATTGCAAGCCAGTTGCCAGGCACTCAAATCACAATCACATGACTGTGGGGACACTGCGACAGCCGCAACTATGAGGACCATAGATCTCTTTGTTCCGCTATAAGTTTCCTTGTTCAGCTTTATTACAACGGTCGCTGAACAAATGGTTGTTAACCAAGGACTACCCATAACAGAATCTTGCAAGCCTGAAAGTACCTCTCCCCTCCCTTACTTTTACTCTCCCAAAAACTAGGGAGGATCCCTTCTGAGATGCTTTCTCCATCCCATCCCTCCTTTGAACTCAGATTTCGTTTATCAGACCATTGTCTAAATTGCAGCTCTTCCTTCTGTCTCCCAAGGTCATTCCCACATACCATTACAGGAGACGCCCCTGCAAAGGCCTGGTGGTATCTGTAAGTCTGCTAGTTCTTGAAGGTGGACCAATAAGCGGAACCCCTAGGGACATTTTCAATTTAGCTCCAAATCTGTGCTTTAAAAAAAAAAAAAAACCTCTATAAAGTATACTAAATTCTACGTCACACCAAGTTCTCCAGCCTTATGCCCATGTATTTTTTGAAGGAAGAATAAGGGAGGAGCAAGAGGCATGCAGATCTCTGAAACTTCTCCAGTACTGGAGAATATATTCAACTTCCCAGCTTGCCCTGCTCTTCTGGCTTGGAGATGTCCTGCAACTGTAAGGAATTTGCTGCTTCCTGTTCCAAGAGAAAGATTAAACTTTTGGACAAAATCAGAATTAAATTTATTTCATCATTATCATGGCTAGAAATATGCAGGTTGTACCCCCAGTACTATATTCTGGACTTGTACTGCACTTTAACAAACAAACGCCACGCAAGCTACCCTCTGTCTTGTTATTGCGGGCACAGGCCAGAATGACAAGGAATCGAAAATTGTGCTGCGCTGCAGGCCTTCTGCTTTCTAAGCCTTGATCATCCACGCGCCTCTTTCTTATTTTCAGGTGCAGCTTGGAAGCATCCCTCTGGGCAGAGCAGCACCGGGGTGTCCACTACATCTGCCCGTGTCCTGGCTACCCCTCGCCGTGGGTTAATCCAAGTCACCACGCAAAGAGTCATGCAGCATCCCCAGCTGCCTAAGCCGGATCCCAGCCGGCCCGCCAGGCCCCCTGCTTCCAGCCCACCTTGCCCCGGCCTTGGAAACACCTGCCACCAGCTGCTGCCCAACCAGACCCTGCTGCGCTGGGGGGAACTTGAGCACACGCTGAGTTTTGCCTGGGGCCTGCATGTCTACGGCTCCGGGGTGCTCTTTCTGCTGCTAAGCCTGTTGAGTTTGGCATGCCTGGGGGGATCCCTTTCCGTGCACGGGTGGCACCTCCCCCATGTCCTAGCTGCCAGTGCCCTGCTCCTGGCGTTTGGGGTGCTGCGGACCACGTTCTTTCTGGCTGACCCCTATGGCTCCCGGGGCCAGCTGCCTGCCCGTGCCGTGCGGCTGCTCTACACGGTACCCTTCCCTCTGCTGCTGAGCACCTTCATGGTGCTTCTGCTCCGCCTGCTTCATCAGGCCCGCCTGCAGGTCTTGCCGCCCAGGTGGCAGAGCTTGCCACTCTGGGCTGCGCTGAGTTCCCTACACAGCATCATTCTCCTGGGGGCTGACTTGCTCTCCCCGCCAGTGCACTTGGCTGTGCCCGTGGGGCTCCACACCCTTTCCTGCACTGCCGGTCTCTGCCTCCTGCCAGCCACCGTGTTTGTGTACTGGCTGCTGCGGCACAGCCGGGGGATGGAGGGCACCTTGGAGCCGGGTTTGTGGCGCGAGGCCTGGGTGCTGCTGGCAAGCAGTGGGTTGGCTCTGCCATGCTGCGGCCTGCAGTTCTACGGGGTGCTGTGGCTCTCGGGGTCACTGGGGCAGCCGGATGTTTTCACCTGGGGCTGGTGGTTTGTGCAGTTCTGGTTCCGGATTGGTGAACTGGCGCTCTCCTTTATCCTGGCCTTGCTGGCTTGGCAGGCGCTTTGCCAGCACCGCGGCGCCACCGAGCACTCTTGCTGGGCCAAGCTCCTGAGCTACTTCTGCGCCTACCGCAAGGCTGAAGTGCCGGAGTACCCCAACAATTGCTACGACTGGCCTGGCGGGGTCCTGGAGAAGGTGCCCAGTCACAACCTCAATAATAACTTGATCCGGAACTCCCCCGGCGGTGGCGGCGGTGGCAGCCTCCTCTGGGCTCTGAAGGACAGCAACGAGCTGCGGGCGGGAGCCGGCCAAGGCTCCAGCCCCCCGCCGCGGCGCGCGGGCTACGGCCCCAAGTGCCCCAATGTGGCCGCGGCAGCCATGGGCCGCTCCTATACCAGCATCTGCTTCGAGCGGGAGTCGGTCCTCTCGCTGGCCGAGCTGGAGTTCCGGCCTCCCTCGCCCATCAACCTGAGCCGCAGCATCGACGAGGCGCTCTTCCGCGAGCACCTGGTGCGCGAGTCCATCTTCCTGCGCTCCAGCCTGCGCTTCCCGGCGCGCCAGGACTCCTGCGCCTCGCTGCGCGGCGACTGCTCCACGCTGTCCCACGCGGCCCAGCCCCTGCTGGCCCAGCCCCGCCGGAGCAGCGATCCCGACTGCCTGTACAGCTTAGCGCGGACCAGTTCGGCGGGAGAGCCCCTCGGCCACGGCCTGGCCAGCGAGCCCGCGACGGACACCTCCTTGGACAGCTTCTCACGCACCTCCTTCTCCCGGGCCTCCCTGAAGATCAGCTGGAACCCGTGGCGCCACGGGCTGTCCTCCCCCGAAAGCCTGCCCTCGGAGGAACTGCCCAGCCAGCAGCTCCGCGTGCTGGCGGAGGATCTCCCTCCGGCGCCGTCCAGCAGCGCACCCAACTCCGAGCGTGAGGCCCGGAAGAGCTTCCTGGCTCTCAGCAAGCAGGTGGATTCCCGCAGCCTCTCGAGTGACACCATTGAATTGTGAGACGGGGCGGGGGCTGAAGGCCTGCCCCCTGTGGGGAAGGAGAAGCCGACTGGGGAGTGGGGCGCAGAGCAGTCCCACTTCCTTTTTAAAAGCCGCGGGGCTTTTGCAGCCCCAGCCGTTCATGAATTGGACCCAGAGAAGATGCCAGGCCTCCCTTGTAACGTCCACCACCTAATGAAGAGTAAAAGCAGCCATTCCTGGAATGTCCACCGCACACCCTACGCTTGCCAGCCTCTCAGTTTTAAGAGCTGCGCTATAGCAACAGGCAGATCCCTGGAAACCTCACAGCTTGGATGCTGAAGGAAGGAGGACATAACTTGTCTGTGGCACTGAGGCCCTAGAAAGATGCCCTTCAGGAGAAGGCAGAGTGGGGCAAGCAAGCATTTGGCGGGGGGGGGGGGGGGCTTTGTATGCAGAAATCCCCCTTTAGGACAATACAGTTGCGTAGACCAGTGTTCCTCAACCTCATCAACCTTAAGATGTGTGGACTTCAACTCCCAGAATTCCCCAGCCAGCATGCCAACATCTTAAAAGTTGCTGAGGTTGAGAAATACTGGCATAGAAGATAGTGATAATACAGTAACAAGACCGGGAGGAATTTGGCCCAAGTCCCTGTGGAGCCAATGTGCCAATGAAGAGTCCTGAGCTCAGCTGGGAATGTTCTGACTCGAAGAAGAAGATAGTTTAACACCCATTTGTCTTGTGAATCATAGAACTGAGGTTTCTGGTTCAGCATCTGTAGTTCAAAGGGCAGTGATTCATTCAGCTGCTTCATCTTTTTGTTTGGAAAGCTCCTTTTGAAAGTCTCATGACTGGGACAGAAAATATGAACTGCAGATAATTGCTTCTTGGCTACCAAAATAGGTGTGACCTTCCCCCATTTTGTTGCACATACATGGATACATACGCCTGGATATGTTTCCAGATGCTACAGGGTTGATCTTTTTTAAAAAAAAAAAAAAGTTTTCAGAGCCCCTTCTGACAGACTACAGTCTGTGCATCTTCTAATCAATTGATATTCTTATTCCACTATTTATTTTTTTAATCAAAATCCACACTTGCCTGAAATTCAAACCTTGAGCTGGATTCTGGGGGGGTGGAGGAGAATCAGAGTTGTACACTGGAGTTGAAACTGTAGAGATAATGTTTCTTCTAATAGCACAAATTGTACTTGCCCAGTATTATCTTATCAGTTCCTGCAGTGGCAGAAGAGAAGAAGGTTCAAGCTGTCCAGATCTGAAGTTGAACAGAGGCTGCTGAATGTTATGTGGTCTATTTGTGCCAAAAAACAAAATAAAACTTGCCAGAGGATGATACATCTTTAAGTCTGCTTTTTACTTCCATTTTAAAAAGTGAAGGCTTGTGTAATCTTCTCTTTCATAGTAGTGCAGGGTGAAAATAAGTAGGTGAAAAATTCATGCAGTTAACTCATAGTAATTCGTTGAAAGCGTGGGTTGAGTCACCTGGTCCAATGCCACTTACATTTTACTTTCAACTCTGGAGCAGTTTCTATCATTATTATTATTACAATTGATTGATTGATTATGTTGGTGTCACATCTTAGCAACCATATAGTTATTCTCCAGGAAGATCTGTTCTCAACCTGGTGGTTCAGATCTCAGTAGTACTATAGTACTTCCACCAAAAAACATAACTTGGTGTTTCCCTGTAGTCACTGTATCTTGACAACTTGTGTATACAGGTGAAACTCGAAAAATTAGAATATCGTGCAAATGTTCATTTATGTCAGTAAGGCAACTCAAAAGGTGA